TGATTTATGCATAATCAATCTAACAGAGCCCAGTTGACAGATGAAGCCAATGCCTTGCTACTTGTTGTTATAGGGAAGAAGCAGCTGAACTACATGAAGCTCTGAAGGAGCACCCAGCACCCATGGCCTTGGTGGAGGAGGACAGGCTCCAAAAAGTCCAGCAGGCTAAGGAGAGGTTTTTGGCTGCATTTCCAAAACTGAAAAAGGAGGTTAAAGAAGACATAAGAAAGTTCCATGCACTTGCAGACTACCTGGACAAGGTTCACAGAGACTGTACCATCTCCGGTGTTGTGGCTGGATCCACCACAGCTGCCTCTGCAGGCCTGGGCATCCTTGGCATGCTTCTGGCACCCTTCACACTAGGTTTTAGTGGGTTCTTTGCAGGGGCAGGGGCAGCACTGGCAGTAGGGAGTGCTGTGGCCAGTGGTGTGACTAGCATAGTGGATTACTCACACATATCTTCAGCTAGAAGTGAAACTAAAGAGCTAGTATCAAACATCAAGGACAAATTGCTAAGGTTCACACAGGAAGTAGGTCATTTCCCACCCAAAGTCATTTCCTCAACTGAAAATTGGAACCAATACTTGATAGAAATTGGGAAGGCCATAAGGACCATCAAGCAAGCTAGTTGTGACCGTAACATAGTAGTTAGTGACCAATACAACATGATTCAAAATATCTGTTTTAATAGTGGTGTGTCTGTGAAAATAGTCTTAGGGCAATCAGTTCAGAATATGAACATTGCACAGATCCTCCACAAATTTGCCAATGTTGACTTCTCTGAGTCAAATATGATCGAGCTTGCAAACAATGCAAAGAAGTTGCAAGAGGGGGCAAAATCAGACTACGCTGAAGAGCTGCGGAAGTTAGCTCATGACCTGGAAGGCCATTTGAAGGACTTTGAAGAGATCCAGATACAGATGTCAGAATCCCATCAGTGACTCCCTCTCTCCAGCAGAGCAGAGGTCAGCTTAGATGTGCTAGACAAAGCCGTGGGCAAAAGGAAGGCATTTCATTAGCTAGAAAAAAGGACTCACCCTCATGAGGTCTATCCTGACATACAGTAGGGCAAGACATAGAGCCTATTCCCAGGCAAGTTTGCCTTTATCACAAATCTTAGCTCATGATCTTGAATGTGACATGAATCCTTGCTCCCTACCTAAATAGCATTCTATTAAGGACTATTAAAAAGAGTTCTCAGATATTGTTTTCTGAGCCAATTTGATGATTACTTAACCTAGTAAAGTTGCACTTGACCTGCATACATGGGTCTGATCTGCTTCCTCCAAAAGCGTACCCTTAGACCCAGAGCCCAGGCCCGGAGTGTGAGTGAGATGACCTGGGGCCACTGGATCCTGAATAGACCCAGAGTGCAGGTCCAGCATGTGAGACTGTCCAGGGCCCGCAGATCCTGAACAGACCCAGAGTGCAGGCCCCGCATGTGAATGAGACCACCCAGAACCCACTGGATCCTCATTCGACCCAGAGTGCAGGCCCAGCCTGGACTCCTTCAGAGAACTCCCTGCAACAAGGCTAGAGACCCACCCAGCTGATTCAGGAGCAGAACATCTTGCCAGAGTGACACAAAGGGTTCAACTCCAATGGCTGCAACAGGAAGAAGTGGAGCATAGCAGCCAGATCCAAGCAACACCCACCTGGAGGAACCTGAGCTTCATAGATCTGGACCTGGTGCTAACG